TTTAACAAACCTTCCATAATTCAGATTCAACAGGATGTTTCGTTTTGTATCGTTCACCTTTCTTAGCAGTGAACTCAGTACCGGTTTGCGTTTCTGATATAAATGATCCGTCACCATGCAAGATATCAGAATCCTGTGGTTTTGACACCGGATATCTTTCTCCTGTTTTGCTTGTGTAATCTTGATGGGAAACTGTATCTCTATCTATTCGTCCTTCCTTCTGAAAATAATGTTATTGTTTCAACCTTTGTTAACTTCTTAATCTCAGCAATTTTTCTGAAAATGGAATTTAACAAACCTTCCATAATTCAGATTCAGCGGGACGTTTCGCTTTGTATCGTTCACCCTCCTTAGCAGTGAACTCGGCACCGGTTTCTGTTTCCGATGTGAATGATCCGTTATTCTGTGTAAGAGTGAAATGAGCTGGATGAATGATGTCGTTGAATAAAAATTTTATTTCTGAATTATATGAGCTTTAATCATGATGATCGAATGTTTTATGGTTTTTCAGCCATTTTGTTTCGCTAAAAACGGAGTTTTTTCAAATTAATTCTGAATCGTTTGTTTTTACCGATTGAAATGCTTTTCTTCAGTATGTGAGAAAATCATTTTATTAATGCTTCCTGGGTAGTCTGACGGAGAATTGTGATCATTTTTTGATTGAAATATTTGTACCGTCCATATTCCTGAATCAGTCAGTCATTTGACGTTGCATCGCTCCCCAGTTTTCGTGCTAAACGCAGCCCTTGTATAGGTATGTCTTATTACTGGAGGGGCTTCAGTGTATTGCCGTCGAATAGAATTCAAATTTTGCTCTTTTGTAGTCTTGTTGCATTGTTGCCTTTTCTTCCGAACATCCACTTTCCTTGATTATTAAACTAGTCTTTATAAAAACCAAACTTGAGTATATGTTTTTTTTTTCAATAAAGTTCTTTACCCAGTATAAGTTTAGTTATGTTGAATACATGTGTATTATAGTTCCAATAATGCCTGAGAAGTTCTGAATCAAGTGTATTTTATTTTGAGTAGAAACTTCCCGGTATGATTGCTGAATTCATTAATGTCAATAGCCTGTTACACCTATCATAGGCTGATGTCTAATATATCTTCAATATTTCTTTTTAAAATATAATCTTTACTTCATTGATAAACTTAATTATCAAATTTTAGGTTTGAAATATTTTCGGTTTTCAAATTTTGACAATTCTTGTCAGAAATTAGAAAACTTGTGTGGTAAGATAAAAATGAAGCATTAATTCAATCTGTTTGAAAGTTCAACAAACAAGGGGGGATCATAGTCCATGATTTCGCCAGTACACATTTTTCACTTTTCTTTGGCATGAAAATCTCTTGCGTCAAAAATGTATCAAAAAAAGCAAAATATAGAAGAAATTGCTGAAGTGGATTAAACTGGCTTAAATCTATGTGTTGGGACAGAAATAGATAATTCATGTGGATATCTTTACACATAGATCATTCGTCCATTTTCAATAAATCTTAGATTATCCAATGGACTATGCGGAACATGGTCTAGGCTAATTAAATGTCGGCCAAAGAGCAGAGGCCTTGGCTAATTCTAGGAATACTTTTATATTCCGTCTTCGTCATAAAGTAAATACCTTAAATAACTAGAATTCAAATCTCTGAGCCAATAAATCTTTAACCGTCTATAAGTTTATGAATCTACCTGTGATTTTCTTGTTATGCATATATCAAACATTGTTTAAAAGCAAAATTGAATCATTCGAAAGAAAAATTCGAATCATCCAGTTTCCAGTTTTGCCTGTACAGTTCTGTTTGTTATACACATAATTGAAGAAATCAAATTGGGGACATAATTTCAAAATGAGTAATCTTTCAGGTCGAGCCGTCATAAAACTATCATTCTGTTTTTCGGAAGTGAAGTTACCAAATAAAAATTCGAATCTGTTGGTACAATTATTTGTTTTAGCAACAATGGTGTCTTATAGAGAGGAATATTTTAAAGAGCCTTCAAATTTCTTTTTAGCTAAATTTTCCATCATCTTTGAGGGTTTTGAAAAGAAGTGTAACTGACATTCATTTTACCTCAAGACTCTCACATACTTTCTTAAATTCATCGTCTTTGACTATGAAATGGCTGTGCAAAATTAAGTATCACCTTCCATAAATCAGAAGTTTGTGATCGCGTAATTTCATAGCGTTTTCCTTTTTTTGGCATAAGTTCATCGCTTGTCTGGTTTTCTCCAATGAAAATCCCGTCTCCTTGAATGATATCGCAGTCCTGTAGTCTATGAATTGTATATCGTTCATCTTTCTTTCGATCATAATCTTGTCGTAAAATTGTTTCTTCTGCCAGTTTTCCTTTTTTCTAAAATATTTGAGCTGTATCAAAATGGAATGACCATTGGAGCTATGTGATGTACTTTTGATATGTGAACTGTTCGAATTAAAGGAAAATTCGTAGAATGAATGTTTTGCAAGACAAAGTGCCAATTAAAAAAACTCAATTTTATTAGATGAAAAGCCAATGTTAAAAATCATACAGTCGAAGTTTTTCTCAAAGATAAACTTGAATAAGAGAGAATATGCACGATATCCAGAAGTTATGGCATCGTAGAAGATGAAATGCTTACCTTCCAAAAATTCGAATCAAATGGTTTTGAAATGTCGAATTGACGACTGCCATTTTCATCTTTGTAATCATCATTATATCTGCTTCCTGATTTTGTGCTTTTCTGGAACAACGAAATTTAATTGGTAATATATTGATTATGATAAAGGTGAAAGAGAATGAAAAAGTGTTGCTCAAATAGCTGCTATGAATTGTTGTATGTATAGAAATAAAGTAAAATAAGTCAGCTTACGGGAGTATGAATGTCCTCAGACCTGTTAAGAAACATATATAAACATTCTACAAATTATTAATTTCGAATTCCCTTCTAGATATTTAAATAGAAATTAAGTAGCAATGTTGATAGGTTCCAAAATCAAACCGACATTATCATGTGTTTCAGCGGAACGATCTCTTCGTTGTCCAACTTTAATCGTGCACTTATTGTCATCGGTAAAAGCGTCCTCATACTCCCTGGTGTGCCGATGTGAAGGCTTTTGAACTATAATTGCAACGTAATGCTAAATAAAATTATTTCAATCATAAAAACAACCACTAATCAGTCTAGCTGAATGCCTTAATATATTCTTTCAAAAGGATAAATTTTAACTTTTCCATGTATAAAAAGAAAATTTAGAAACAGATTTCAATTTCGTCTATTAATCTTCCAGTTTCTTACAATCAGCGGTATTTTGTCTGCTCCGTTTTGGTTGTTGATGATTATTCTCATCATCACTTCCAAAAACAATCTGGAAAAATTACTCCCAATTAAATGAAATTTCAAAACAGTTCAAGTTATTTAAGCTTAATTTGACAATTTGATAAAGCCATTTAAAAAAAGCAAATGTTTTGTAGCGGGAAGATATGGAAGGGTTCAGTAAACAAAGTGAAAAACCATTATCCGTTTTCATTTCGAATTAAAGAAACGAATGTTTTCAAAATTGATTTGATCATTTTATATTGAGAGTAAAAGATTGCACAAAAGAAGTGCTTGCAACTATTTCACTTAATGATTGCACAATACATAAGTTTGTCTTGAAAAATTGACAGTGAAAGGGATGAGTGGAATGAAGTGAAAGGTCATTCTATTTCTTGTTTCAAGCAAAACAAAAGATAAACTGAGCAATCTTTACAACTTTGTACTCTAAGGAATTACCGCGCAAGAATGTAAACATATAAAACGGTTTCCCTCATCAATTTCAATAATATCCAACCAAGGATTCATAATTGTGACGTCGCAAAACATGCGAAGTTATATACATATTCATAGGGTTTTCTTTTGCTGCTGTGTGAAGATGCGCTACATTCATATTTTCGTTTTCTGCAAATGTTCCTGCTTGTGGGTGTTGCCTTTCACTGATTATGCTCTAAAAAATGTTTCTCAAAGGGAGCATTTTGCAGTGTTTCTTATTCACCAAAAAGTTGAAGACTGCTGAAATCAATAATTTTTACGACCGCAGTAAATAAGAATTTTCAAAATTTTTTACAAATAATGGTTGAATCCTTTCGTGACAAATAAAAATGATACTATAAAGGTAGTAAAGAAATTCTTTGTCTTTATTTAGTATATTTAAAAAAGAAACATTAATTATGTGTCCAATATAGACATCGAAATGACCCTTAGTGAAAGATTTTCCAGATCTCCTGATTCTTATTGGTTAATTATCACCACTGGCTGCTGCATGTACCTCAACTATTCATCCTTAAAAATGATTTTAGAAAAGTCGCTAACTACGGACTGATCTTTGTCCCAAGTAAATAAAAAACTTTTTGCAGTGTATTATAAAATCATCTCGTTGGCATAAACTTGTCCGAAGAAAATTTGGATCGTAGATTTGCCTTTTTATAAAAAATATTTTGATTTGAGGTTCCGATACAAATTGAGCTCGCATTACGATCGTTCAAGCAACGATGTCTCCTGAAACAAAACCTCAATATGTACATAAAATTCTTAAAATAGTTTTGCTGAATTATAAGTGAGAAAGAGCCAATTTTGAGATTAAAAAATCTTAAGTGTTACTCGCAAATACATATTTGACAAACGCATTGTGTGTTGTGAGGCATCGAATTCTGAAATTATAGCACAGGCTTCAGCCTATCTGAAACATAGTAAATTCAGAAAAATGAAATCTGCGAGAATAATGAAAAAGTATATACTACCGAATTTTGACAAATATACTTTTTTGATAGAATTTTCTCAAAAATAGCAAAAATAATGAAAAAGGAAAGTGATATCAACTGGCACGGATTACCTGTTCAAAGGTATTCTTGAAGCAGGAATTTATCTTCCAACTTTAAAAATTTCTCATTTTAAGTTGATAATGTTAATATTTCAAATATTATTTGCACTCTCTAGGAAATAGTGATTGTACATTTAACGGTGCGAACGCCACTATAACAAAATAAAAACAGGGTATAATTTTTGGTAAAATAAATTGCAAAATGAAAATTTGGTACGTTTGGATGCGTCCAAGGAAATTAGTGGAAAAGTAATATATTAAATCATTCTGCATCGCTGTATCTTCAAATTTATCTAAATAATTATTCGTTTTATATCTAACTTTATAATAGCATTTTTACTAAATTAGAGTGCCAAACGAAAACTGCTTATTTCTAGGGACACGCACGAGATGATTAGTACGTCTAGCCTTACTTATGTACGCCTATTTCACTTTAAATTTCAATCCATTACAACCATAAAAGACAAATATCTAGCAATGGTATATTTATGTCTATCAAATATATTATATATCAACGTATGTTAATGTTAAAATTTTATCATGCCACCCAGTTCTTTGTTTTCAATACTACTTCACTCTAATTGTTATCAGTAACGAATACAATAGCATACCATACCATACCATATTACATAATATTGTGTTGTATAATGCTTCTGATATCAATTAATAATTTTTGAATTTAAGAATTATGACAGGATGAAAATTTGTCGAAGCAAATGAACCAATTGATAATATTTGCGAGTCTTTGTTGGAGAAGATGTCATTGAAGAGAAAAAATGTCAAGCAAATGAGGAGGATGAAAGGAATTAAAATGCAATAATATTTGCGGATTCGATTTTCAAAATGGAAAAGCACACATACATCCAAATCCTAAATTTATCAAAAGATTGTTGTTAGGTCTGCCTATTCATGAAAAGAATCTGTAAAAGTAGGAATGAACTTGGACAAGGAAAATATCATAAGCTACCTCTGCACATTCTTTCGTTAGTCCATTTACATAGTAAAATTTTATCAGCGAATTTTACTGATAAAAGTCATTATTGAACGATGTCTAATAATTGCGTAATAATTATGAAAGTTCATTTTCGTGAACTCACATTTTTTTTTGGTAAGTAATGAAAGGAAAAATGATAAAATTAAGCGAAACAGTATGATCTGTTAATTCGCAAAGAGACAGATTCTTAGAATTATAAAAAAAGATTTGACTTGATAATATCGAAATTAAAAGAATCCTCCCACTGTAGTTGTAAACTAAGCTTCGATTGAGTCTTTCAGTTTGCCTCAAATGCTTGGCCGATTTCATAACTTTTTTGCTTATAAACAGGGATCTCGTCCGGATCTCGTCCAGATTGACCCCTTCCCGATTAAATGACTAATATGATCACGAAATCAGTCTAGTTTTGCATACAGACAAGGAAGTTGAATTGTAGGCGATGACTATGCCTCCTTCCCGAATAAATGAATAATTATCGATTGATCGGACTGTTAATTTTATGAAATAAGCTATCAAAAAAATTTTTGTCGTATGACTGAACAAGCGAATACAATAAATAAGCAAGCGAAGTGCTAAATAATAACAGAGTGTGAAGATTGGTTTTCAGAAATTGTGACGACATTATAAATGGATTTGCGAAAGGAAGAAAGAAGAAAGTTTGTTTAGTCGGTGTGATTACAGAAAGTTCAACTGATCGGGAAGACGAAATTAGGGAGAAGGAGGCTTTACAGGTGCCATAAATTTCATTGTTTACTGACAATTTTTTTTTCATCTTTACTGTGAGGAAGAGGAAGAATTGAAGAATTCCGGCGATTTACCAGAGATGAAGATGATAGTTAGGTAATAGGAAATTCGGTTTGACAAAATCTCATCATATCGGTTTTTGAAATCTGTCCTTTTATTGTTAAAGTTTATTGAAGACTAAAAATTAATATTAATGAATAATCAGCGTGCCATGGAATGTTTTCAACATATCTTTTGCACTGACATTCCATGAGATTGCGATTGCAAGAACAAGAGAATAAGAACGATGAAGAGGTAAGTATGCTACCTTGAAAGTTGAAATTTTTTCTTTAAAAGAAAAGACTGAATTAACGGAAGCAATAGTCTTCACTTAGTCATCTTTTCATTAACATTATATTTAATACTTGTAATTAAAATTCGCTCGGGAAAGAACCCATTTCCACTGCCTACCGTTGATCGAATTTGGTGTGCTATAGTACGCTTCATTCTATTTGAGTCAGGCTAGTTATCATGTACAATGTAGAAAATCGAACAAATATATGTAGATGTCTTTCAATAGAATCAATGCAGTAATATACACAAAAGAACTTTGGTAGCTATTGTTAAATAAAATGTGATTTCAACTTTTCTTCACACCAGTTTGTCCCTCTCCGTGGTAAACTATGTTGAGCAGAAAATAAAACGTCGCGCTCTTCTTCCATGCATTGCTCATTGAAAGAAGTATGCTTGCCAAGAGAAATCAATTGCCGTCCTACAACTTTTAAGGTTGTTCTCGCTGCCAATCTTTCTCATTATCTTACAATTTAAAGCTGATAAGAAGTGGCACCATCAGAGAGACAGGTAATGTATCTTTTATATAATGTTAGTTAATCTAACCTACGATAAAAACTGCTCTCTCTAAGTATATAGATCACATTCATCATTTAATATGTCGTTGCATATATACATGCTAAAATGACATGTGACAGTGAATGTTTTGCTTAAAATAAGCATTAAGTGGTTGAAATTAGAAAAAGTTGCTTAATGGGATATGCGAAATGAGTTTTTGGAAGTATTTGAAAGTGAAAATAAGAGTGAAAAGTGAAATGAAAATGAAAATATAGAGCGCTAAGGGGCATTGAACGCATATATGAACGACTGGTAGATAGGAAGAAAATTTTCTCCACTGACTGACAATTAGGTTTTAGAGAACGTCAGCCTCTACAAAAGAACCTATTCAGACAAATACCATTACCATTCTCTTCTTCTCTCTTGTAAAAAATCAATTTAACCAGAATAAATAAGCGGAACAGATTTAGAGAATCAAAAAAACTTACATCTATTTTTTGGCAAGACTGAATCGTCATTTTAAAATGCGTACTTTCGCTATCAGTTACAACTGAACAAATAGATAAATGAGCTAAGGTGTGGAATACAGGAGAAAGTTTGTAACAAAAAATTTTCGAGCACTTAATGATGCCACCAAATACGCCTTTAGCACTTAATGATGCCACCAAATGTGCCTTTATTGCTGTGCCATCTCATTTGAGTCGACAAACAAAAGCCGTGTATGATTTGCAGGGGAAAAAAATTAAATAAATTTCGTTTCGCTTACATTTATTTCTCTTCTATCATTTCCGCGCAAATACTCTTACATACAAATCAATGTTGCTTTAACAGCATATCTCGAATCTACCAATAATCAAAATTGAAGTATCTAACGTATAGGGTGCTGAAATGTTTCGAAGTATTGATTCTGGCATGATTAACTTATAACTTTTACAGGCTCAATTTTCGAAAATTTAGAAGCGATCTGCCAGAAATGACATTTGCACCTGCTCCGTCCAAAATTTCAAGCATCTCTTTCAAAATTTATTTGCCATGTCTTCAAGTTTTATGTCGAAATTGGCTGAAAATACAGCTATTAGCAAGTGCCCATCAGTTGAAACATTGATCCAATGATTCTACTTGAAAGAACCTCCATAAGCGTTAAAGCTCGATCGATACTAGCCAAAAAAGGGAAAACAATTAAAGGCGATAATAAAAACAGCTAGCTAGGCTCATTTCATGATTCTGAAGCAAAAGAAAAACACGGCTGGTGGCAAGAATGATGTATTTATCGACTATCACAGAAATCGATGTGAGATAGCTGATGTTCATCACTCGCTCCTTGTGAAGCTCTCCCAGCGGTACACCAAACGAGGAAGAAAAAAAAATGAGATAAATAGATTCAAATGGATTTCAATTCAACTTCTCCGGTGCGCAACCGATACCAAGCATTAGCGAAAGATGGATTGACGGAAATATAAATCATCATCTCTCAAACTGGCAATAAGAGCATGTAATACTTTCAAAACCTAACTTTTTAAACAATAATATGGTCAATACGTTCCATACTAAAGGTGTGAAGAAAGCTCTTAAATCATGCGAAACTGTAAGGAAGGGACAACATCTTTTTAAAAAACAATTCTTTTTTCATCAGCCAGTTTCTCTATAAGTTTATGAAGTAGTCAGGAAAAATTATTAAACATCTTCGTAAATAATAGAACAAAATTTAATTGAGTGGACCCAACTGACTCCAAAATTTATAAATACTTCCATTTTTTTATCATATCAACAACTTTTTACTTTTCTTCTTTGTAATTTGCTCACTAATTTAATTCCGCTATTTTCAGATAATTCAGATCATAATTTAGGTAGCTTCTTAAAGCCTGTTTGTTGGGAATGCTAGTAAACAATTGATTGTTGTAGAATTGATTAGATAACATTGACCAAGTTTATGTTCAAAAACTGTGAAGTTGCAAAAAATCAATGCTTCCTGTTTCTTATGTACTTCACATTTTCTTTCATTTGCATCTTGGATGGAAGAAATTATTATATATAAAATAAAAGTAATAATAATAATTAATAATAATAATTATTATTATTAAATGTTACGAATTTACAAATAATAGCATGAAAGAAGCAGAAAGAGAAAAGAAGTACACTAGTTGGAATTGGCTTAAAGTCAACGATCCGTTATCAAAGTATAAATAATCAATTTCCTGAGAATTTAATTTTGGTTCTGGTTCAGGTTTTGGCGTCAGTTTAGATTGCATTAATAGCTTGTTTTTGACTGTTGGTTCTGCTTTAGATGTCAAATTTGGTTTCGTTACAAATGATCTTTGCAGTGCAACTGTTATAGATGATACTGCTTCACTTGTCGTTGTCGCTGATAGCGAAATAGGTTGCGAAAGTTTCGAAATTTCTGCTGAATGAGTAGAAGGATCGTGCACTTCAGATAATGGATGTAATGGATTTGAGTTTCGAAAATGTGGTGGAGGTCGAATACTCGGTGGTCGTTCATTAATAGAAACAAACTCGATTGGATGTACTCCACGATTTTTGTCTAAAAAAGCAGGATGTGTTTCAGGATACCAATTATAAACAATATCCTTATGATAAAGAGTAAAAAAGACGTACTTCCATGATACTTCACCTCGTCGTGTCTGTAGAAATTGTGATCTCTGACCGGACCCTGGTCAAGTGCCTTCTTGACAGCATGCGAATAAGATTCCATTGTTTGTCCTTTTGCATAGATGACAAAAATTTTACCTGGTCCTAGCGGATGGTCAGATGGTTCTATCTCTGGATGGAAAGCGAAAATATTATTAATATTGCTTTAATTTGCTAAATAATTATTCTCAAAGATTACTTGAGATGATTTTTGACAATATGACAGTTAAGCTTGTTACAGTTATGTAACGACCAATTTATTAGACAACTTGCCATAGAAAATAATTCTAATACTTTTCATTTTCACATGATTCCGAAACAAGCAAAAATTAGAGCTTGACAAAATTATTTTATAAAAGGAAGTTCTTACCAGCAATCCGCCTTCTGAACATGACTATCGTTTGACCATCACGTTCTATGCCGTAAGCCGCCGAAAACGATTCTTCACCATCAAGCCTGAAAGGATCTACTACCCTTATAATTAATGAGCAGTACATCTTACGTTAGGTTTTGAAAAATTGTAGGAATGCTTTACGTCCTTAATAATAGAAGTACCAACCATATGTCATGAAGTGGTGTGGAGCGGTCTCTGGTATACATATCGTTGATTCTCGATCGGCCATCCCGCACCGAACCGATCACAATATCTGTGCAATCCATGGGATGAAGAGGTGCCAAAAGTGCTGCTTTTACTGAAACAAATGACATCAAAAGGATACATCGACTAATAGATTCAAACAGATTTCAGTTTAAAGAAGTATTTCGGTTAAAACTGAAAGTTCATAGTTTATTCTCCTTAGAAATAACTTGATAAACATTTATGAAGTTCAAAAGAAGACAATTAAAAATTTAAGCAAGTAAATAACGATTGAGAGTATGAACAAGCAGACTTACACAACCCGTTATTTTTAGGTAGCTTCGGTATTGGTATTGGGGTGAGTTTCGCATCGGCCGGATCTCGATATTCAGATACATTCATTTGAGTTGCCGATTGTGAAATCATTGTCCATCTGTTATCTCGCTTATATCGAGTATTCTCCAAATCAGGAAATAATCGGCACGAACGATCGATTTCCATTGGTCGCCAACCGATTGAAATCCATGATGTACTCTTGTAATCCAAAATTATCTCCAGTTCATCCTTAAATTGTTATAATTCATTAAAGCAAACCGAGATGAGAGTTACTTAAATCATCTTAAATACTTCAATCAATCAAGTCGTCCTTCAAATTCCTCAGTTCTTCCCAGTTTCCCATTAACGACTGCCTAATTAAACTTACTCGGACAATTCGTGAATAAACAAAGTCATCCTCATTCAGCATAGTTTTTTTAAAGCATTCTTCTCCAAAAAGACCATATTTATTGTATTTATTCTCATCTTTTGGATAGTTATAATTGAAACATTTATCGTTTTCAGGTTTGGCACCAAATGCTGAAAATATTACTTGAAGAAATTGAAATTAAAAACATGTCATTTAGCAACTATTATGTTATAAGCAAATACTACGATAAATAATATTCTGCTAATTCCGAAGGCAAGAGGTACTGAAATGGCTGCAATTTCTGGTTTGAGTTTTTCATTTTTCACGCTGTGAAATGACTCTTGGCAGTTAATTTATAATAGTAAACAAACTTCGATCACAGTTTTGTCCAAAGTAGCCAAAAACGCAATAACACGTTCTTCTAACCATGGCATGTGGTTCTTTAATACATTTACCATCATTTAAGCAATCTTCATCGGTTGAGCAATAATCTGAAAATTTCCAGTTTTTCAATAACTTGAAAGAATTTACAAAATTGGAAGTCAATTCATAGTTATCCCTTCTCTTCTTAGTTCTCCTATTTATTTAAATTTCATTAAATTTAAATTGATCAACATCAAGTGATTTAAGTTATGACCAATACCTTAATTTTTTTGGAGAAAATCCCAAATTTTCTATTGTAATTCTTCAGGTGAACTAAACAAGATGATTAATGTCCTCGGTAGTATTTTCATGAATTTCTAACTTTCATAGTTTAAAATTCCTTCAATAAAATATAGGAAGAAAATAAAAAAAGAAAAAAAGCTTTCGAGAATGAAAAGCTCTGCCGTTTCTTCTTCACTTCGAGTTTTGAAGACTAAAAAAGAGAGAAAAAATAGTGAAGTCGAAAGTAAAGTAAATCAAGTTCTTTGCTCATATGAGCTATATTAATCTCTCAAAGTCCAACATTTTATAATAATTTAAGATAAAAAAATGATCAAAGTAATGATAAATCAGAGACGAGATCAGAGAAGCTTTCTATGATAATGTAAATATTGATATATAGGTCGAAAATTTACGAAACAATTTCAAAATGTTGAGAAAAACGACATCCTTCTTGATTGTGCATCTGTGGAACTACTAATGTGATTCATGCGTAAATTTTCAAATATTAGGATTACTTTACCGTTACGGAAAACTTTATCGTTAAACTGTTTAATGAGGTTTCAACTGTAAATCAGAGTAAAGTAAGATGTTTTTCAGGGGCACTCGGTTTTAAACAGAAATTATTTCATATTGAAATTCACAACAATCACTAATGAATAAAATAAATTTTGATAACATTTTTTAAATAGAAACATTTTAGTTAGTTTGCTAACAAACTTGAACTTTGATACGCTGACTTAAAAATCTCTCCGAGATTTACCATTCTTGTTAATGATCCATCAATTAACATTTACTAACCTTTATACTGACAAAGTTCGCCGGAATACGAATGGCGACATTTGCACTCGCCATTCTCGTAATCGCCATGGTTCGAGCATCGTTCATTATCTTTTTGCACTTCTTGGACAATTTTTACATCGGCACAAGATCGAAAGCCGTATGCTTGGCCCCACTCTAAAGCTTGACGTTCAAGCAAAACTATACACGGTGCACATGGACGTGTAAGATGAACTGTCGCATACTGTAACCTACAAACATGAAAACCATATCTCTTTGACTCTGCTTCATCTGTTCATTATCATAAACTGATAAGCTATCCATAATAAAACATTTACTCTTATTTTGGAGAAATGGAAGGAATTATTTGATGATAATTATTGCACAACAAAAGATAAATCCTCAAATTTCCACTTTGTCATATTTACTTCTCATATATCCGTTCTTTGTCGCTTCTAATCAATCATCTTTACTGAATTCTCATTTTGCACTATTTTACCAATTTCAAAAAAAAGTTAGAAAAGATGAAAAAATTAATTTGCGACTCAAAAAAGATTTTTTCATAATTGAGATTTAAAAAGTAAAGAAAAATGCAGTTGTCTAAATTCATCATCGGAATTTGAAGAAGAGATTAACCGGTTTACAAATTCTTGCAAATTCCATTATCTGTTTGCTTTCTAATACGAAATTCCTAAAACAAATAGCATGTAAAGGAGGAAAACGGACGTTTGATCCTCGATGCCAACATAGTCGCTACCTTTTACAGGTGCTAACTGCTCCACAATGTCCCCAGTTTCATTTATCACAGATAAGCGATATCCACCCTGCAATAAAATTTTTACCTTCTTGAAATTAAGCAAGAAACGTCCTACAAAACTTGAGGGAGGAGAATGATTTGAAAATTTTGCAAATTTCAACTGATCATTTGTCAATTATCATAAAAGTTATTACATAATCAACTAACCTGATGTGGATATTGTAGTCGCCATGTAAAATTATATGATTCACCAACGTATAAATGAGTATAAAGTGCTTAAATTGATTATAAAAAATTATATTCAAGTATTAATTTACTAAAAATATATCAAGCAAGTCAACAAAGAACTTTATCAAGGCCAAATTTAATTTAAATCAAGATGTTCTAAAACTTTCATTATCCTAGGTAATTAAGCAGAAGTGAGATTTGATCAGAAATTAATGTAAGAACATTATCTCTTGAAATTTTGAAGACGAGTGAATACAATACTAATGCTGATAAAAACGTTGCTGATATTAATGATGACGATGCTAGACCAATGATAAGCAAGAAATTACTAACGATTATGAGGCTTAGGTACACCACACGGACTAATTGTTCGGGCTGAATCCAAGAAATCGAGCGGTGGAAATCGTACTGAAGGGAACGTCAACGCCACATGCCCAACTGCATTATACCGTAACAATAAGTGGAATAAGTGAAACAACAGTAGTAATTGTAACATACCCTTTCTGCAGCATTTTGTTTGTAGTATATGAGCGATATAGAAAGGCAAATGTTGCGGAAAACAAATAATGGTAAGTAAATAACTGATAGCTGTTTAGATACTTTAATAATATTAATGCTACAAATGACAGCAGTGAGAACAATGAAGAAAACTTTTTAAATCACCTTACCTATTTTCGACTTTTTCATTTGAATAAAGCCATCTTTTCTGCATATGAAGGTGCCAATTAAGCTTGAAAGTTAAAAAGTTAATAATAAATGTAGTTAATTATGTATTACTGATTCTAAGTTCTTTAATTAAAGCCTAACCTCCAACAGCAATTTAAAGTCAAAAAGGAAAATATATTTCTATAAAAATGAATACAATCTTGCACTATCAAATTTCATACTTTTTTAACTTTTGAACTGTTTGACTCTTTAAGTGTTTACTTAACTCATTTTAGAGTGTTTCATAACGATCACAAGAGAAAAATTCTCAGGCAAAAAATTAGTGAACTAAAATTGAACAGAAAAAATAATTCTTATGGATGTTTTGGCCATGTCGATTGCTTGATATAGCTATGTTAGGATATTGTGGAAAATAATGGTAGTGCTAACTGAAAAAAACGGTATAACGATTAAGAATTTATAATTTAGCCATTCACACTTACCTTAACCGTTACAATATTATCACCTGATGTCAAATGTAGAAGAAAATTTGAATAATGGTTACTTTTATAAAAAAAATATGACAATAATAACTCTGTGAACCAATTTGTAGTACAATAGTGTGATGGATGGTCAAGAATATTAAATATTATTTAAGTATCTGGAAAAGGACAACAACAAAAATGCATAAGAATTTTCAATCTTTCATAGGATATTATTTGGTAAGTGAGCGAGTTCCGTAATGGCACCACAAAAATTTTAATTGTAACGGTAGGCTCAAAAAATAGCTGTCTCAATTATCGGAAGAAAACGATATGAGATTTTAGGAGACAGCATTAATGCTTTAAATTTTTGATATCATATATCTGTAAAATCTATGTAGAAGAATTTCAGTGTAACATTTTAAAATTTGAAAAGAGAAATAAGCAATTAGAGCAAAAGAATGAAGCAATGCAGACATTTTACGTTATAAAATACTATAATTTTTTTCGAAAGTTTGTATTCTCACAAGAATGTCATACACAGTAATATTCCGGTAGTACCTGATGTATCGAACTGCATACTTTGAGGGATATTGTATGAGATGTTTAAGGAAGGCTTAAGGAAATCTTGTTTCGGACATAGATTTCATATCTTTGAGCATATATCAATTTGCATAACAGCTAAGATGAAAAAAGCAAAGGGTGAAGAGGAAATTTGCATTCGATCAATAATCCAAAAATAAAAAATAACTGATAAAAAAATTTGAAAGTTATTAAATTTCAGAAATCTTAAAGTTGTAGAGGACATGTTGATAATAGTAATATGAAGTACCATTAATATTATTTGGCGAAGGAGTAGGATTCCGCGACAACAGTTTGTGCTCACAAGGGAACTGATAAAAGTATAAGATGAAATGGAGACATTTAAAGAATTCAAGTTTCTTTTTCGGTAATTTGTTGAAAAATGGATGAAAAAATGATATGAAAAGAACGAATGGGAAAGGGCGTTATTCTATTATTCATCTAAAAGAAAAATATGTACTCATTAATTCATCTCTTGTCAAAATTGATAATATGCTTTACTCTGTCCAGATCGATGAGGGAAATCGGAAATTTTGAAATCTGAATTCGGAGAAATTTTTAAATTCCGTTAAATGACTTCTTGTCTGTTTATCCTTAGTACTGTATTTAAGGCGAAACAAGAAAATGGACAAGTTGAAATTGTGACGATAGCAATTGCAGCACTTAACACATACAAAATTTCATCCATGTGAGCTAAATCAATGCATGGAACATAAAACTGATTAAATGCAGTTATAACTTGCATCTTTATTCATCCATCAAATTAAAAAGTGCACGGAAAACTAGAATTTGAGCCAATTTTAAGTTAGGTCTGAAAAAGACACAACCTTATATAAAACCTTTGCAAGACCTGTTTTAATTGAAAAGAAAGTGGAAATCGGCAGATTAAGATAATAAACATGTGAGAGGTAGAAGTACTGAAGAATTGGGATATAATAGAGCAGAATTGAAATTTGATTGAAAATTGGAAAATTATTGCTGATATTGGTTAAGAGAATGGAAGAAGGGATAATTAGGTTTGTAGGATCATGTCGTGAAGGAAATTTTGAAAACCGGAAAAGTGCTCACGGCATTTTGGACAGTGATAATAAAGGGAACATTTTCTGGAATGAAAGATAAGTTTATGTAGGCTTTTGGGCTTAAATAACAGTTCACATTATGTTTGGGAGGTGGACCAGAAGTTTAGAATGACTTAAGATATGCAAAGAATCCTATCACTTCATCAGGAAAAGAAAAAGTAAAGGTAAACAGGAAGAGAGAAAAAGGTCATGGATGGTGTTTCATTTGACATGTTCTCCGAAAAACAGGTTCAGAAAAGTGAAACAAAGGAGCTGATATTTTTGCAACATACATCATATCACCAATAACAACATTATCATCATCATCATAATCATCATAATCATCATTATCACCATTATCATCATTATCATCATGCCATAATATGATATTTATCATAGTAATAATAATAACATATCGTAATAGTAATCATTATCATCATAATATTATTATAGATCCTGTGATTCCCAAAATTCCAAATATAATTTGAAAATTGTACAAACCCAACAATGTGCAATGCACATTTTCTGTTATAAATTTATCGAAGTATTTGAAAAGTTTCCAAAATCAATGAAGTATTTTACAATTTATGTACTTGTTATTAGCTAATTAAGACGCTTGGAGATCCGAATAATTTGAGCAATAGAGAAAATCCGCTTCCGAGCAAAGTTTCACATTTTAGCAAAATTTCAGTCGCATTGATAAATAGTCATTTTCTTTCTATTCAACTGTCAGAAAACTAGAAATTAATGAAGGTAAAAAGCTTGAAGTATTCGCTATACAAATGCCATTTATTTCATAGCAACAAAGAAGAAACGCCAGAGCAAGACGTAAATCACTGTTACGCAGTGGAGCGTCGCGCAACGTAATTCGTTTCTGGAGCTAGTTTCACGATAAAGCAAAAAACAACAGCAATTTAAGAAAGGATCAAACAAAAAGATATTGGCAAAAAAGATAATGTATTATTTTGATTTACTTCCTTTTATAACATTTTCAAACCGGATATGAAATAAAATAGTGAAAAAAATTCTTGTTTTCATTGATTCGTAAACTATGAAATTTCTACTACCGCTTTCATCCTTCGCAAATCCTCAGCAAATTGCTTCAAATTTCTTGCTTTCTTTTGCATTTCTACAGCTTCCTTGAAAGAGAAACTTATAAAAAGCTGTAAATTGATGAGACTACAAAAATTTCCCGCAAATTTGCTTTTATCTATCATTTGAAATAAATAAGTTTTAAATAACAAATTAATTGATTCAGCGATATCATTTTAAAATTTCGAATTTTAAGAAGAATACTGACTTACAATAAAATTCCTTGGACCCGAGACATCTGGCTTATTCTGGAAATTTTGATGTCGGGGCAATCCAGAGGATTCTATTAGATAATTGGATCTAAGATAATTTTATTCATTAAAAAGTGTATATGGAAGTGATGTTAGTTTATTTTAAATCAAATAAGGGGCAATGAAGTTCAGTTTAAAAATTTTCTTTAAAAGATAATATGCTGGTAGCAACATCCAAAATTTTCATTTCCCACTGCTGGATAAAAACCGGATTTTAATAGGTTTCATTTGTAAATTTCATCAAGCAATAACTCACAACTCTTTCGCGCAGAATATAAATAGACGTTGTACATCCAATTTTGCTTATTGATGAAGTTGCTTACAACTATGACTTTTTGAAGCATCGAAAATCTAAAATATTAGCTAAATTGAGAGCTCTGTAAAATATTATCCCATTTTTGAACTGGGAAAACTTGTTGAAATTCTTTAAAGTTATTTTGCGATAATCTTACCGAACATTATGTGAAGTGTCATGCAACTCTTCAATGATTCCATTGTTTAATTATTTGTTCTAATTTATATGTATTAAAAGTTGTCATGATTTACTTGAAATTTATTAAAGTAAATAATGACACAAGTTTATAGCGTACTCGGCAAGATGTTGCCGGGTACACTGTAGACGTATTTTATAATGCTTTTTTATGAATGCATCAAAGCGCAAAGAAAGAAATGAAAAACTTTTCAGTAAGCTAAAGATAAATGTTATTTCGACTGTTAATAACTGCGCAACTGTTGCAGTTCTGCCTAACCAGCTATATTGCTGATAATTGGTCGCCAAGCATCAGTAAACATTATGACGTAGGTTTGAGTACTACCATCATTTGCTTATTTTAGATTTCTACATTCTAATTATTTTTCTTCTCTGATTCAACCAAATTTATCATTGTAGTTCAACTCTACTACTTTTTAACTACTCGAAACTCTACTCGAAAGTTCAAAAGTTTCAGTTTCCAGTGATACAATATTTGGTGCAGACATCAGAAAAAGTAAACAATGAACCATTTCCGACTTACCGTGTCATTACACCATCAAATATTACCAAGGCTGCACCAGTGGATGTCAAACCAAGCCGTACAATTATTGCTAAACAGCTAAATTCGGTTCGATTTTTTCATTAATTTATTCTTGCTTTATACATCATCAACTTTATTTATTAAACCAATTAATAAAGAATTCATGCGTAATTAGTATGATGAGAAAGGTTCAGACGATACATTTGGCCGAATTTCAGATATCATCGGTTGAGGCAACACCAATAGCTGTTCATGAACCAGTTAAAATAACTTCATCAGAAGATACAATCACCGGACCATACGATGATAAGAATTACATGTTAGCAAGAGAGCAGAAAATGAAAATATATGGTGGTGGTAGTCAGTTTAAATATTATACAAATTTTTGATATTCCGATGAAATCGTAAATCTTGGCTAAACTTAGATCTGACGAGAATATGGCATATAAAAAGGGTATAGCAGTTGATTTCAATGGTGCGACAAAAGTGCCATCGCTGATCAAACAGCCTCATTTGACTGACTTTTCAGAGAGATGAACATAATGTGCAACTTCTTGCAGGTAAGCAGCATAGCATTGAAGTTTTCAAGCGTCGTGTGAAAAAAATGGCAGTTCCTCCAAGTAATGCACCAGAAGCTGGGAATCCATATGCTCCTGCCACTACTAACTATGAAAACGAAGTTCCAGCGCATAAACCATACGAATCACAACAATATGGTCTGCAAAAAAAGCAAAGATAAAAGCATCAAGGGAAAGTATTTCCCCGGCATACCGCAAAATAATGCTTCCAATTCAAAAAATAAATTGTGCAGACAGTTCTTTTTATCAATGAAAAATGAATTGTTAATCATATCACACCAATCCCTATTCAAAATATCATTTCTCATCTTATTATGATACCTAATGTAACACAACAATCGTTTCAGTTAAATTTATTTCCCATACTGTCAACCAAATAAATTTCTTTTGTAATATTCTTCAGCATCACAAATTTCCTTTTCCGGTCTAATTGCAATTAGTAATTAATTTCAATAAGCAATAAAAGTTGCCATGCCTCTTTATATTATAAATTTTATAGCCAAATTGTATAATAAAATTGATATAAGATTCAATAAATGAACTGATCTATTCATGTAAGGTAGCGAAACGTTAGGCAACAAGATTATATTTAACAGCCGACAGTCTTCAAAATTTGTGATCCCAAACTTTCTTATTGGAAAAATAAGAAATAAAAAATTTGAAATGGCTGGAAAACGTTTTACGTTCTCCAACCATTTCAAACTTACACCGCCAATTTCAGTTCGTCGAATCATTTGACATCCTTTTAAGCTTCATTACTTGAAAGCAAAGCACTTCCACTCTTTTGATTGAATTACCTCGGATTGATATATTTTTAGCATGTAATTTTTAGCATGTTTAGCATGTAGACAGAGACCACTGATGTTAATATTCAAGATGAGATTTTCAAGTGCAAAATTGATTGACAAGCTCACAAGATATCTTTGAAATTGATTGTTTATTTAAAAGATAAATCAGAAGCAATGACATTGTGACAGTTACCAATATTGGAATTGATACGGTTGTCGCAACTGTTAGGCCAGTGCTAGAGTATTTGAAAATAAAATGTAGATTGGCGTACAGAAATGATATTGCAAAACCCGAAAATAAAAAGCAAATTCGGAATTGAATAATGATACTAGAAATAAAATGTAGAATTGGAATAGAGTAATGATGTTGAGAGTAAAACGTAAATTTGGAATGGTGAAAATTAATTTGGAATCAATAAATGATACCATAATATTCGAAAGTAAAACATAGATTTGGAATAGAATAATGATACTGAATATGCAAAAATAAAGTGCAGATTAAAGCATTTTTGGACAGAAATGAAATGATCAAAAGTGATTCGAACAGAAATATCTTTTATAAGAAAACATTTGATATTATGCTTAGATTTCAGCACTGAACTAATTCTATGAAAATTTTATATCATAAATTGTTCTGTGAATTTACCAAAGAATAATTTAAAATTTCAGGTTTTTCTCAGTCAAATCGCTACAAATGTATAATATTTGTAATGGGATGAAAGATATTTAAATCCGTTTCCCGAAAGCAGCACAATAGCAGAATAAGGAAGTATTTGTCATAGTAGCAGATTTTGCAACCTCAGATAAATAATCTTCACATCAAGGTATACACTCAGGATTATCTGGCTAACCTATATATGAATTACATGTCAATCGTGAATAGGGAAAAAGATTTTGATCAGCATTGTTAACCTGTCATAAATTCAGAATGAAACATATAAACAAAAAATTCTCACTGTTGGTAATGAAACAAGAAGCGATGTTAAGAATAGACTGAAGCAATAATTATTAACGTGTAGGATTTTCACAAGAACGTGACTTCACAATAACCAATTAATAATTGATCTATTTTCTCTCATCCATCTTTTTTGTTTTTATTTCTGCCCTTTGCCAGCATATTTCAACAATACTTTTAATAAAGAAAATTTTTTGGAAGCTAAAATATTTGAAGAAATTTCTGTTGTCTGTAAGAATTTCTCATTTCTACTTCCCTCGGCTTATTATAGTACTCTTATTATTAAATCCTGTTGTAAACATTGACAAAAATGATAAATTTGAAAGGTTGAAGAGAAAACTGATGACAAAAGAAAATGATAATGAAAAGGAAAAAAAAAGGTTTTTGGTAATATTTTTCAGAACCAATCGAAATCAGCAGCGGTTTTGTCGAAATTTTCGAGTTCTGATGGCGGCATCATTTGTATTCCATCGATGACCAAAATGCTATTTCCTTCATCTTGCTGATGCATAAGTGTTAAATCTTCTGAAAATTAAGATTTTTTGACATGAGTTAGTTTAAAAAATAAAAAATAAATTTAAAAAAAATAAATTTAAAAAATGATTTTAATTATGGTATTCTTGAAGGTGAATTCATATAAGCAATAAAGGATTGGCATATAATTAGAAATATAGGAGGTAACCCCAGTATCCGTATGTGTATCTCAACTTCTGGCTTCGATCAAGTATGTCTCTATAAGGACTTGGACCAACTAAAGTACAACTACTGGCAGTTCGATTCGGGATTGTTTCTCGTTCTTCAGCTGAAATTTGCACATTATTCAATTCATACCAAACTCTTTGCAGCGACCATTTCATCTATTTAACAATGACTTGTCCTAACTTCCAAAATTGCAATAACATAAACTTGCAAAATGCTACTCACTCAAGTAATATCCGACATGCAAGCAACTGAAATAAAAATCACGAGGGTCAGATTTGCAAGGATCCGGAAGACCGTCAGGCGTGTTACCACATTCGCTCTGATAGACCTGAATGAACGAAGTATTGTCTGTCGCTAGAATGAATATCATTTTAGAAATTAATTCATAACAAATAGATTCGAAAGATTCTGAAAACTTATTACTAACACCTTATTTTAAGATTGTGCTAACATCTGACACAATCATTTGTTTTAGTTGCACCGAATATAATGTGTTTGCATTTTTCAGGGCTATTTTCAGCTCTTTACTGATTTTGTTCGGAAGAACTGAAGACTGAACTTGAATAAATGTTCTCTCTCACAGCTGCAATTTATATTGAATAAAACCTGAGAAACCAAAGGAAAGAAGCATACTGTGGCAATGCTTCCGGTCACTCGATATTTGATTGTCGAATCATAAAGTGTCATAGCAATACTCAAATCGAATTCTTCATGTGTTTTCTCCAATAGAACATCTGAAAGCAACAATATACTGCCTTTGTTGACAGTTTTTTGTTTTGTTTTAAACAAAAAAATGGACATTAAATGAGAAGTGTTTTAGTATCAAAAATGATTCGTCTACCATTTCTGATACTAAAATCTTTACCATTTTGTCTGTTGCCTTGAACTATTCCATGCTTTAGTAACTTAATTAATTAGTCACGCATGCTCAGTTACTGCTTCTTCTTTCAAAATCATTCTCTAGATGTGAAATAAATGAAAACTAATTTTTTTCCTGTCACTTAAACAATTTCATTCGTATTTTTTAAAAAAAAAATTACGATTATTTTCATCATATGCTCCAAATAACGTAAGAAAGAGCTTCTTCTTCTCGGATAATATGTCAAAGAAACGAGTTCTGTCGTGATTCAACGTTAATCCCATGAAGGAGCGAGGAGAGTGAAGATAACTTCGGTTTCGTTGTCCGTATGTTCCAAGCATGAATCTATGCAGAAGACATATGTTATTCTTCTTCACAGTTGGAAGCAAGAAATTAGAAGCCTTATTTAAACAATTCCAAATAAACCAATTAAAAAACTTCAATCCTTCCTCTTCTCTTCGTTAAAAATGCGACATGGAACATTCAGAACTAATTAGAGTACTAGGTTTCTAAATACGAGAACAAAAACTAACGATCCTTGACCAGCCGGAAAATATCGTAAGGAACAAATTATAGTATCATCTTGTTCGACTGATCCTAATGCTCGCATATTTGACATCCATAGATAGCTTCCCCAGTTAAAAGGATCCACATAAGGGCTTTGACGAATAATAATTCTAGAAAGGAAATGACTGCTGAATGCTCAATATTCCAATACTTGAAAACATTTTAAAAAGTACCGTTGCTTTCGTGGATCACATCCGGAAACGTACGCTGTTGGTTTAGTGAAATCGAACTTGGTGTCCATCAGCATTTTATCTTGTCCATTGATGAAATAAAATCTAAAGATAAATTTGTCATTTACTAGAATCTCTCGATTGCTGTCTCCAAAATTTTAGTGTTCGACTAAGAACGCATTTTTTCTGTTATCTGTAGAAAATCATCAGTGGCGGTACTTGCACTGATACGATAAAGATGTGTTTATATTTTATATAAACGGAACAATATGATAGCAACATATCACTTGTCTTGGCTTATAGTACCAGAACAGATTTGGTCCAATACGGCTCATAGAGATTAAGCAGCAAAGATGCCTTTCATTTTTACCATTTCGAAAATTTACGATTAAATTCAAGAAAAGTTACGACACTGATTGACCTTCCATTGAAGACAAGATTGGCTTTCCAACTTCCAAATAAAATGATGAATGAAAAGCCGTGCGGCATGACTTCAATATCCTCGGAGATGGAGTATTTCATTTTACTGAGAAAAGTGAAATTAGAATTGACTAAAAAATCAATTTATAAGTTAAAACAATTGGTTTAATCAACCGTAACCTCTTAAACAAATCATTTCATTTTAGATGAACAACTCTGAATGGATTTTGCTACATTACTACAGGTATTATTAATATAAAAAATAATTTGATACTTTGCTTACCAATACAAGAACTTAATGTGTATTTAAATACGCTTGTTACCAGTGCTATGAAAAACTTACCCATATTTGCTATTCAATGATGTGAATAGCTCTCGATCATAATCATACCCGAAGTTCAATTTCGCTCTACTGAAAATTTTTTATCTGTCGGAAAGGAATAGATTTCAATATGATTTGTCGCAATGTTCATTTTGTTGGTGCAAAATATTCCAGGATGAAAAAGAAACCGAAATATTTTGAAACAAAGGTAAGAAGAATATGTTATTACTTTAAAAACCTCTGACTTTATTTTCACTAAAAAAAATCTAAAAGCGAATTCTATTCTATTTGGCAAACAAGAATTTTGCATCGTCTTTTTCATTTCAAACTTTTCATTTACGAGGTCAATAATATTTGGAGTTTAATTTGAAATTAATTTTCTCTAATTCAGTCTACCTCTTCCTGAAGTAAGGGTCGACTAAAGAATCGCCAAGCCAAAAATAGCGAACCTGTTAGTTGTTTTATATATGACGTATGGCGTTGCCGATTCATTATTGTATGACGTAGAAAATGTAAATCTCAAAAAACTTAGCGATGAATTCAGTTAACAGCTTTTTAAATTTATTGGAAAATTTCTATGATTTCGGAATTGTGCTGAAGGATATTTTGCAAAGGTGACGCATTAAATTAAGTAGAGCAAGTTGATAATCAGCTGATAGATCAAATAGAAGAGATTAAGAAGCTTTCTAAAAATGTGAACAGAAATCTTTTCTATAAAAACTGATGGTGATTGGTTGGTTATTGCTGAGGTACTTTTTTAAGGTAATGAGAAATAAAAATAATTAATTTCAGACTTTTTGCATTTTTCGTGAAATATAACTTTGACAAAAATTACAGTACTGCGTATCGGATGAGTGTAATAATTAGTCGTTGAATCTTCCAGTTCTTCCTTTAAAAAATTTAATTCCCGTGTTTTTCTTTCAAAATCAAAAGAAATTCGATTTTGAGCACCTAAGAAATTTGATCTTGCAAAACATCGAACAGTATGACCTCTCCATTTTTTTCTATTAGATTCAACTCTCCAAAATTCATTTTCAACAATAACAAATTGATAAGCCACCGTCTGATATTCATCATCTACTTGAAATTACAATAATATACTATGATTTTTTCAATTTAAATGTGAAAATTTTGCATTAAGTAATATTTTAGGCTTGAACTTATTTTTAATTAAATCTAATTTAGAATAAGTTTGATGCTGGAAGAGGTTCAGAAGCACATAAGCTATCAATCTTTAAGACATTGATTGTTCTAAAAATACATTTTTTGGGGGAAGTATTTTATCAATTTTCATTCTGGTATTTAGAAAAGGATTAAGAAATAAAAAGAAGCTTAATGTGCAGTGAAGTAAATTCACTGATATCTTAAGCAACTTTTAGTATCATTATTATTATCTTCTATATTGGCAAAAATTTCTTCCCTGTGTTATCCATCAACTAAAATTCTAAAATAAGCTTGCTTTTTTTTATCTTGTTACTTCATGGTTCAGAAAAGTAATTTCTACTTCTATCATTGGACTGAAAAATTGTTGTAAGCGACCGAAAATTAATTCGAAGAAATCTTAGATTCGCTGAGAAAACTTCTTCATTTCGAAGAGTTAACCAAAATCACTTGGTACTGATGATAAGTAAATTTTTCACGATTAGAAAGAATCCGTCCTGAACTGATTGATATATGACTGAGGTCATAAATGAACATAATACCTACTTCAGCCAGCTTCGTATTATGCCGGATACCCTTCCTGAATCAGATTCCGATAGTTACATCACGAATGCTTCAATTAATTGGTTTTTTTTTGAGTAGCAGAGACAGTAATAAAGTATTTTTAATTGCAATAATGCAAATAAATGATTGCTTACAGAGAAGAAGCAGCAATGCCCTTGAAAATTGGGCAATACGAATATGATTTGTGACACTTTCACAAATGAGAAAATTGTTAGGGAGTGTTGACAATAATAAACGACAACTGATGAATAACCTAATGATGGACAAGCAATATGAGTATTGAGTAATGAAATGTTCGGAGGCTAAAAAGCGACAGAAAAGGTTTGATGGAATCATTTGTTTTCCTATGGCCAATTTCTACACATTGAACCTTCTTTGCTAAATTAGTTATTAAAGGTTAAAGTTAATGACAAAAGAGAAATAAGGCAGTCTTATTATTGCTTAATGATTCTGCCACTATTTCCTTAAATTCATGCTTTTTGCATTGGGCGAAATTTAAAGGAAATGGTGATGATAACGGCAGCAATCAATGCAATACTCAAACCCATAAACATTGAGAAACCGAATGGTGACATGCAAATTCCATTTTGTACCGCAGCAAGTACCATTGATTGTCCACCGAGATGCAAACGTGCACGATGACGCAAATCAACTGGTAGAGCCTGATTCTGAAATTCCATTTAAATTAGATGAAAGAAGAAAAAGCAAAGTTGAAAAACCGGTTAGAGAGAGAAAGTAGTATAAATGCTTCTGCATTTTAGCATACAGTTATTGATTAGTTCTCCAAAAATCGGGAAAAATTTGTTAGAAGGAGAAAAAACTAAAAGACATACGTCTTCGCTAATTTCAAGGGCACTGATATCAGTTCGCACGTCAACGATGTTCTCCGGCTCCGCAGACCTTTTCTTGAGCAAACGGAGTTGGGCAGCTGCTGCAGGTTTTACTGCGGTGCCGCTCGTTTTTACAGCTCCAAATCCCTGAGGCTCTGAACATTGCGGTCGAGCACATTCGCTGTTTGGTTCTTTAATGGTAATACTGATCTGGCACTGGTAGAAAAGCTGTGATCGATCTGCATATTTGTATACGTGCGCTTCTTGTCCAGCCATGAGATCTAAGAATTCAAGTTAATTAACAGAGATAATTTCGATTTTGAGTCACTGTTTTGAGTCAAATTATTTTTTAGCTCATTCAAAAAGATCATTTGTTGTCTACATTTTAATGAAATGTGATTGTCGCTAATTTTAGATTACTTTCCTCATTACTTAATGTTTCCTCGATAGATATCACTCACCTGTTGGATATTCCAAATTGTTTAACAAGTATTTATCGAGAGCACAACCGTCTGCGTTTAGAATTTCCACCGTATCACCGTTACCATCATCCACAAAGCAAGAATGGACAACTGCGCAAAACGTATCAACTGTTTCAGAATCGCAGGTCCATTTGTGATATACTGGCTGGCCAATAGTAGCAAATTGAATTGGTTGTCCGGTTGGTCCACCATCCAGGATCTGAAATATGTATCTCTATATATCATTACTGTGTGATATTTGAAAGATTAATTTCAGTTTTTCCTGATCAAGAGGCAACGTCTCATGAATAGATTCTTTAACTTTTGAATTTGAATTTTAAGATTAAATACAAATTCAAAAAAGGCATGCCTCATATCGACAAACAGGCATGGGTACAATCTGAGTTTGAAAAGCAGTTGTGATTTCAGACACCTCGATTTGGGTGCTGACCGTTTTGTCGGCTTCCATATAAAAACATTGTACTCGATATGCACGGTCAATTTTTGTAACGAACAGTGGATGAAAAGAGATTACAACAGTGGTCGTTACAAAGATACCTATAGGAAATTTTATTTATGGAAATTCTGGAAACTTTAGAAAAATCAGAATGATTGATGCAAGAAGTTGAAGCGAGCTACTTTTTTAATGAATGTCTTTTAATCGATCGCAAATCTGAGGCTATTCAACAAGAATTTGCTTTCTTTTAATCAAAGTACTGCAAAACAGAGTCAAATTGCCATACCTCGTGGATTGAGAGATCGTGTACGCGCAACATTGCAAGAATCGAAGGGAAGTGAAATTCCAGCAACCTGACGTCCACCTTCATCGTTGTGGCAACCTTCTTGATCATAAAGACCTTTCACGTAGACATGTCCTTCGAATGCATTACGTGTATTGAAGTTGATGGTTATCGAAGTTGGTCCACATTCAATTTCCGGCTCACCTATAAATGATTGTATAAATGATTATAATAAAAAATAATAACAAAACGAATCTTTAATTAACTTGTAGGAACCAATTTTATCAAAAATGATGGAATAAAAGTATATGAATTCAAGGAGAAAGATAATGAATAAATGAAGCAGTTTTTTTTTGTATGCTGAAACTCTATTAAGAAAACAATGAAGTTAATGTCGAGGTCATTATGCCAATGACAATCATAATGTCATACAAAGAAATAGACATACTTCCAAACAATTTATAAAACTGTGATCAAGTTTTTAAAAATTAAATATTCTCCTAGAATGTTCTTTATTCCAAAGCTATTAAAAATCTGACCAAAACTTTAATAATCTCTTAATACAAATCTATGAAAGGTTCTTATATATATACATACATATTTAAGGAACATATAATACCTTCGACACCGTTATCAACGGGGATTGAATAAGATAATGAAATAAGTGTAGCGCAGAAAGCGGTAAGACGAAGCATCATTTCATAGGATTAAGATTTGATTTTGGAAACTAAGTTTGTTTGGCGTTCCCTCTACCTAACTGTTGTTGTTGCTGCCGGTGTTGTAGACACCTACACCCTATTTCAACGAAAACAACTGCCTTTTATATAATTTTGAAAACGGGGTATCCTATATGTCTTCTCTGCTTGTACGGTGACATTTGACATTTCGGTTATCCTGTCCCATGCCCTCTAACCTCTAGTATCATTTCCCCTTCTCCGTCTCTTTGCCCGCAGCGACCTCTTCTTACAACACTTTATCCGTCCATTTTTTTTGCATATCAAACAAAAAATTTCAAGTAAGAAAAGAGCAAGATAAAAAAACAGTTTGAATAGATGAAGGATATACTTTCGAACAAGAAACAGCGTAAACCAGTATAGATTCGGGTCAAATATTTTCGGTTTTTCATCAGTCAAAAACTTTCACGAGTAGAAAGATCGGTCTTATTGTCACCAACGCTATTATTTATATCACATTGTCATGATCACTTTACTATCACATTCATCACTTATAATATTACCATTGTTATCAAGATATTCCCTATCATCATTATTAAACGTTCATTTAATCTATCATTGAACGCATTCTGAAAACGGAAATCAAAAAAAGGTAAAACAGATAATGCTAAAATGGAGAGCAAAAAGCATAGCTGAATTAATTAGAAAATCTATATTATTATGACTATAATTACTATCATATCTTCTTGCATAAATGTTAATAATCTTGTTCATAATCGTAACTCTAACTTCTATCTTTATGTGATCTCAATTCCATCATTTTTATAGAGCTTACTATTAGTGCTATTAGTGTATCAATTATTCAAAACAGGTGATATTTACCATGAACGCCAAATTTGTACGCAACGATTCCATCTTCTCTATTTCTTTCCGGTTAAGTAACTTCGATTTGCAGCAGGGAAGCGATAGTTATCAATCTAAGAATTAATAATTTCAATCCGCTGGCTATCAATTAATAAAAAATAATTTCATATAGCAAGCATTCCGAGGGAAGTTATGATGAAGTTTCAAATTGCTTGCTTCTTAACTTGCTGATTATTGTTTATTTGTTTATCTGTTCAGAATCAGTTTTATTCGTTTAACATATATTTATTTCGTTTGTTCGAATAGACTTAACTTTTTTGTCGGAGATTTTCTTCATCGGGTACTGATTTTTTTCACAGGACATGAAGTCATTTTGCTTGTCAGATATAGACTCGATTTCTTTTTTGCGGACACAAGTCCGTTTAGTATTCAACACCTGTTTCGACGAAACAGACCTACCGCATCAATGACGATCTTTTGTTTTTTGTTTTTTTATTTCATCGCAGTGATCACTTTCTTTATAACCTCTGTCAATGATTAATTGTTGTTGGTCGCATTTTATGGTAGGGTGTTTTTCAATTTCAGCATATATAATAGAATGAGAAGTGACGATCCATCCTTATCAGTAATTGTTTCGCATCCTTAAGAAATGATAAGTGAATGAAGAATTATTGATTTTCCTTGTAATTAGGGAAAAAGCTGAATATTTCCTGAACAAATAGAAACAAGCAATGACTGGATGAGATAATTGAAAAGAGAAAATATTGTTGAAGAAAGCGCTTCGTCTCATTGATCAGATCAGCTTTTTCATCATACTAATATCACCTCATTTATATCAACTAGATCACATTCACTCAAACTGTTACAAATTTTAACGTTAACGCCAACCAAAGGGATTGAGAATATTGCATACACTAAAGTACCATTGTGAATTAAATTAAAGGTAAAGATAAATTCCATTCAACCTCACCGCCGAATTTCTGAGATATCACTTCTAATTGATGATGATTTATCTATCATTTCGGGATCAATTCCTACAGATCTTATCAGTGCTCAGTCTAGAAAACAGTTCAGACTTTTCATTTTTTTCCTTTCTCCTCCAACATCCAATTTGTAGTATTCTCATTCCTTCCAATTCTATCTTTTCTCCTTTCTTTTTCCACTTTCACTAAAAGTCTCTCACATTGTTCGCACATCTCATTCTTTCTTATTTTTCATTTCAACAATCTCTGTATGTCTGTTTGTTTGTGTTTGTTTATGTATGTGTATGTATGCGTATGAATGTATATATATATGTACATTATATATATATGTGTGTGTGTGTGTGTGTATATGACATAATAGTTACACGTCCAAAGCTGTTTTGAGTAAATTAGCTTGAATTGTCTGAAGAACTCGATGAATTTTCTGTGTTACCATTTAATTGTCTTGTATAAAATTAATTAGTAGATCCTAAAGAATTCAAACAAATTAATAAGTCCACTGAAAATAACCGATGGTTACAGGTTATTTTTATTTTCAGAAATATGTAGATTTGTACGGTATGCAGATATTGTTAATTTTCAACATATCAGTTATTAATCTTTGAAACTCAATATTTCGCCTCCTTTCCATTTAATTATTCCTTCTAGAATCAATATATTCCTGAAGATCAGAATTATATGTAGCAGTAAAACTATTTTCTAAGGTTGCTTTGAAACAATCAATGATAATAGCTATCTATGGACAAATGTCGCTCAAAAAATGAACTTATTGAGTAAATGGATATAT